AGAACCAGGGGAGGAAAAAGGAGATCAGAACCGATCAGAACCCAGGGAAGAAAAAAGAGCTCAGAACCCGGGGAAGAAAAAAGAGCTCAGAACCCGGGGAGGAAAAAAGAGCTCAGAACCCGGGGAGGAAAAAGGAGATCAGAACCCGGGGAGGAAAAAGGAGATCAGAAGAACCCGGGGAAGAAAAAGAGATCAGAACCCGGGGAAGAAAAAGAGATCAGAACCCGGGGAGGAAAAAGGAGATCAGAACCCGGGGAAGAAAAAGAGATCAGAACCCGGGGAGGAAAAAAGAGATCAGAACCCGGGGAGGAAAAAGGAAATCAGAACCAGGGGAGGAAAAAGGAGATCAGAATCCGGGGAGGAAAAAGGAGATCAGAACCCGGGGAGGAAAAAGGAGATCAGAACCCGGGGAAGAAAAAGATATCAGAACCCGGGGAAGAAAAAAGAGATCAGAACCCGGGGAGGAAAAAAGAGATCAGAACCCGGGGAGGAAAAAGGAGATCAGAACCCGGGGAGGAAAAAGGAAATCAGAACCAGGGGAGGAAAAAGGAGATCAGAACCCGGGGAGGAAAAAGGAGATCAGAACCCGGGGAGGAAAAAGGAGATCAGAACCCGGGGAAGAAAAAGAGATCAGAACCCGGGGAGGAAAAAGGAGATCAGAACCCGGGGAAGAAAAAGAGATCAGAACCCGGGGAGGAAAAAGAGATCAGAACCCGGGGAGGAAAAAAGAGATCAGAACCCGGGGAGGAAAAAAGAGATCAGAACCCGGGGAGGAAAAAAGAGATCAGAACCCGGGGAGGAAAAAGGAGATCAGAACCCGGGGAGGAAAAAGGAGATCAGAACCCATGAGATATTCGAACAGAACCCGGGGAGGAAAAAGAGGACAGAACCTGAACAAAAAAGAAAATGACAGCACCCAGAGGAAAGGAGGACAGAATACAAAGAACAGAATTTAGGAAAACAAGAGCCCCATTCACAGGAAGGGAGAACAGCACCCAGGGGAAAGGATCAGCACCTGGAGGTGAACCTGTCATCCAGGGGAGAATCCGACACTGGTGCACTCACAGAAGGGACAATAGTGTAACAAACTTGTTCCCCTCTCTGTTCGGTTGTCTGTACCCCCCTTGTTTGTTTCCCGAAACACCTACCACCCCCCCAGCTTGTTAACTTTAAAGGAGTAATTAGCTCAAGTGCTTTCCCTGGGTGGCGCCATTCGTATAACCGAACACACATGCTCTAGTGAATGGCGGCTCCCGAACGCATGCAACGGTACTTGGTGTGGCTTATGGATCATTATTTAATCTACATTGTATACGTATGGTATATATTATATAATATGGAGTATGTATATTTAATATGGATATGCATTTAGCTGTATGATATATTGAAAGCTCGGCACTCACCTTTAAAGTATAAAGTTAACTTTTTACCCCAGTGCGTCCAGTAATCCAAATAATGAGGGTGCACTCAAGGGGATTTTCGTGAAAACAACTGTTAATTTTATTGCATATAAGCAAAAATGCACAAAGTCCTGATTAACGTTTCGACCCCTACATTGGTCTTTCTCAAGACATTTCTACAAGGTTAACAAAAGCACTGGAAGAGTTAAATGTTTAAATTAGCACAAACAACATGTGCCGGTCAATCAAAATGTATACAAGGCACACTTCACTTAACCCTGAATATAGTCATAGACCGGGCTAATAATTATCTGCTGACCATACAGAACATTACATCATATATCAGGGGACATGTTAAAGAACCTTTTTGGGAAATTTCACAGCATGTGTGGGCCTCTCTTTGGAGGAAGAAATAACTATATAAACTGTAGAAGACAGTTAGAATGTGTCATCCAATCATTCTCCATCATTCCTCCGTCATTCATTCAATCATTCTCCATCATTCCTCCGTCAATCATTCAATCATTCTCCATCATTCATTCAATCATTCTCCATCATTCATTCAATCATTCTCCATCATTCATTCAATCATTCTCCATCATTCATTCAATCATTCTCCATCATTCCTCCGTCATTCATTCAATCATTCTCCATCATTCCTCCGTCAATCATTCAATCATTCTCCGTCATTCATTCAATCATTCTCCATCATTCCTCCGTCATTCATTCAATCATTCTCCGTCATTCCTCCATCATTCATTCAATCATTCTCAGTCATTTATTCAATCATTCTCCATCAGTCCTCCATCATTCATTCAATCATTCTCCATCATTCCTCCGTCATTCATTCTATCATTCTCCGTCATTCATCCAATCATTCTCCATCATTCCTCCGTCATTCATTCAATCATTCTCCGTCATTCCTCCATCACTCATTCAATCATTCTCCGTCATTCCTCCGTCATTCATTCAATTATCCTCCGTCATTCATTCCATCATTCATTCAATCATTCCCCGTCATTCATTTTCCATCATTCCTCCGTTATTCATTCAATCATTCTCTGTCATTCATTCAATCATTCTCCGTCATTCATTCAATCATTCTCCGTCATTCCTCCATCATTCATTCAATCATTCTCCGTCATTCATTCAATCATTCTCCATCATTCCTCCATCATTCATTCTATCATTCTCCGTCATTCATCCAATCATTCTCCATCATTCCTCCGTCATTCATTCAATCATTCTCCGTCATTCATTCAATAATTCTCCATCATTCCTCCATCACTCATTCAATCATTCTCCGTCATTCCTCCGTCATTCATTCAATTATCCTCCGTCATTCATTCAATTATCCTCCGTCATTCATTCAATCATTCTCCATCATTCATTCAATCATTCCCCGTCATTCATTCAATCATTCCCCATCATTCATTCTCCATCATTCCTCCGTTATTCATTCAATCATTCTCTGTCATTCATTCAATCATTCTCCGTTATTCATTCAATCATTCTCCATCTTTCCTCCGTCATTCTTTCAATCATTCTCTGCCATTCCCCCTTCATTCATTCATTTTCCATTATTCATTCAATCATTCTCCATCATTCCTCCATCATTCATTCAATTATTCTCCGTCATTCCTCCGTCATGCATTCAATCATTCTCCGGCATGCATTCAATCATTCCTCCGTCATTTATTCAATCATTCTCCGTCAATCCTCCGTCATTCATTCAATCATTCTCCATCATTCCTCCGTCATTCATTCAATAATTCTCCGTCATTCCTCCGTCATTCATTCAATCATTCTCCCTCATTCATTCAATCATTCTCCATCATTCCTCCATCATTCATTCAATCATTCTCCATCATTCCTCCGTCATTCATTCTATCATTCTCCGTCATTCATTCAATAATTCTCCATCATTCCTCCAATAATTCTCCATCATTCCTCCATCACTCATTCAATCATTCTCCGTCATTCCTCCATCATTCATTCAATTATCCTCCGTCATTCATTCAATCATTCATTCAATCATTCTCCGTCATTCATTCAATCATTCTCCGTCATTCATTCAATCATTCTCCATCTTTCCTCCGTCATTCTTTCAATCATTCTCTGCCATTCCCCCGTCATTCATTCATTTTCCATCATTCATTCAATCATTCTCCATCATTCCTCCATCATTCATTCAATTATTCTACGTCATTCCTCCGTCATTCATTCAATCATTCTTCGCCATTCATTCAATCATCCATCATTCCTCCGTCATGCATTCAATCATTCTCCGTCATTCCTCCATCATTCATTCAATCATTCTCCATCATTCCTCCGTCATTCTTTCAATCATTCTCTGCCATTTCCCCATCATTCATTCAATCATTCTCCATCATTCCTCCGTCATTCATTCAATCACTCTCCGTCATTCATTCAATCACTCTCCGTCATTCATTCAATCACTCTCCGTCATTCATTCAATCATTCTCCGTCATTCATTCAATCATTCTCCGCCATTCCTCCGCCATTCATTCAATCATTCTCCGCCATTCCTCCGCCATTCATTCAATCATTCTCCGCCATTCCTCCGTCATTCATTCAATCACTCTCCGTCATTCATTCAATCATTCTCCGTCATTCCTCCGTCATTCATTCAATCATTCTCCGTCATTCATTCAATCATCCATCACATATCATGCTGTCTGCACTTCATTTCCGTTGGTAAGATTATTTAATTGTAAATTTCTTTCTCTAATACTTATTCATTCATTAATCTATACACTGCACATTCTGCTGTTAGTCTTTGGTGAGATTATTAACCTGTTTTCCTTTCTATAACATTAATAATACATTTTTTATATTTATATGAGTCATTGTTTCATTTACAAAATATTTTACCAGGAAAGCTACGTTGAGATTTCTCTCGTTTTCAAGTATGTCCTGGGTCCACAAATCATTGCATTGTTACATTAGGGTACAATAAAATACAAAAACAATATTAATACACAATATATACAAAATTTAACATAAAACAGGCAGGAAATATATAATCACCCATAACACGTGCATTCTGTTTTGAGGTATGTAGAGAGATCTCTTAAAGGACTCTAGGCTTGGGGAAGATTTTAAATTGTGCGGGAGGTCGTTCCATAATTGCGGTGCTCTGTAGGAGAAGGAGGATTGGGCTGCTTTCTTTTTGTATTGAGGTAGACTAAATAAAGTGCTGGTACTGGATCGGAGGTTGTGTGAGGTGGGAACAGCCGAGGAGAGCATTCTGCTCAGGTAGGGTGGGAGTTTCCCAGAAAAGCTCTTAAACACAAGGCTGGAAAGATGAAGGGTGCGTCTGTATTCCAGCGACAATATTCATCCAGTGCCTTTTGGGTTTTCAGATACTGGGTTATTTTAATGATAGTCAGGTTATCTACTAGAATCATTTATTTAAAACAGATTTTTAAGATATCTTGCAAAGGAAATATTTATTCTCCTACTGCTGTATAATCACGATAAGCTAGAATGACCAGAGAAAAGATGTTAGTCGGTACATCAAATCATAGCTTAGACATCTATAGTAACCAATATATATATTAAAGGGTCAAAATATATATGGTGGTCCACTATATATAGTGGAAAACCGACACATGGTCGTTGAATGTCTGGAACTCTTTTCAGATACGCGATCCCCAATGAAAACTGTACCAATACCTGTTCCACTCACAAACGAATTAGGAGAGCACTGTTCAGGAGAAAGATACTACCGACTGGGGGGGAGCATTCACTCCCTAAGAGCCAGTGGGAGCATTCATTGGTGTTTGCACAGGAACTCTCAAAAGTTGACTGGCCATTGGCTCTTTTTCTCTGGAACTGTTTTGGTCTACCACCTTGTGGCTGACCAGTCAGAACTTTACCCGAATGGCGATTTTGTTCCACCAAATAGATCGGAGCGCTATTTGGACATCCTGGGCATTCAGATCCAGGCTATTTAGGGTAAAAAGACTTGTGGGGTTCCTGTGTGGTTTGAATGTAGTTTTGGGGTGTATTGTATATTTTATGTATCGCTCCCTGTAACAGAGATAATTGAGTTACCGGTCTTTGACTCAATTATTTCCCAGACACAGGGATGCCTGGGAAGTGCTTGTGTATTATAACGGAGCTCCTTGTACCCCTGCTGGGTACCTCCGCCAAGGACCGCTTCCTAGCTAAAACAGGGGACAAACTGCAGCACTTCTGCCCACAGTCGCCATGGCTTGACTGGGGCCCTGGAGCCGAATGGGGAATTAGCTCTAGTCCTTACAAGGACTTTCCCTGTTGAATCCCCTGCAAGCTGAAACAGCAGACACAGGAGTAAATCTTCTTTCCCTCCAATAACAGGACGACACACCGTTTTGGAGTGTAAGCTGGACTTTTAACACACCGTTTTGGAGTGTAAGCAGGACTTTTAACACACCGTTTTGGAGTGTAAGCTGGACTTTTAATGGAGGCATACTGGCCTTTTATGCAAGTTTCCCAACAAGGACGACACCCAGGTGGACCTTGTTGGGCACAGGGACACAAAGTGAATAAATCAATAAAAACAGAGTCATACAGTGAGACACTACCATACACAAACAATAGAATCCCTCCTCTGTGCCTGGGAGATAATTTAATCAGGTACTGTACTGTACGATATGTAACAGGGTTGATGTTCCAGGAGGGATAAGCCAAATGACAAATGATTTAGGTAAACTAGAAAAATGGTCAGAATTGTGGCAACTGACATTTAATGTGGATAAGTGCAAGATAATGCATCTTGGACGTAAAAACCCAAGGGTACAGTACAGAATATTTGATAGAGTCCTAACCTCAACAATTGAGGAAAGGGATTTAGGGGTGATTATTTCTGATGACTTAAAGGTAGGCAGACAATGTAATAGAGCATGAAATGCTAGCAGGATGCTTGGTTGTATAGGGAGAGGTATTAGCAGTAGAAAGAGGGAAGTGCTCATGCCATTGTACAGAACACTAGTGAGACCTCACTTGGAGTATTGTACACAGTACTGGAGACTGTATCTTCAGAAGGATATTGATACCTTAGAGAGGGTTCAGAGAAGGGCTGCTAAACTGGTTCATGGATTGCGGGATAAAACTTACCAGGAAAGGTTAAAGGATCTTAACATGTATAGCTTGGAGGAAAGACGAGACAGGGGGGATATGAAAGAAACATTTAAATATATAAAGGGAATCAACACAGTAAAGGAGGAGACTGTATTTAAAAGAAGAAAAACTACCACAACAAGAGGACATAGTCTTAAATTAGAGGGACAAAGGTTTAAAAATAATATCAGGAAGTATTACTTTACTGAGAGGGTAGTGGATGCATGGAATAGCCTTCCAGCTGAAGTGGTAGAGGTTAACACAGTAAAGGAGTTTAAGCATGCGTGGGATAGGCATAAGGCTATCCTAACTATAAGATAAGTGTGACAAAACCCCTGTTTTATGGATACCAGTGCCCTTTTCGTATGCCATTTTATTCCCTTTTATTTCCTTTACCGAACAAACTGACTAACAGCCGGACCACCCGCAAGTGGAGTGTGCAAACAGTTAACCTCCCAGAAGCTGTGGTTAAACGCAGCTTAATTGACGAACAGCTGGGTGGTTGCCATTCGTATGAACGAACATGTGGCAGCGGTCATCTTAAACTGTCGAACGCCCAGCAAGAACACCGCTGGGACTTCCAAACTTCCTGCACTTTGTTTCTGTTCATACAAACGCAGCTTTGTTCGGTACATTAAAAACTCACAAACTAGACCGACCCTGATAGCTAAAAGCCATGGAACTCATGCTGAACAGATTTATGCCAACCCTCTAACTCCATGGCGGTTCGACTGTGTTCATGAGATCTGAGTGCTTTTCGGATATATTGAGTGATCAGATCCACGCTATCTGGGGATATGTCGAATATGGGGGCTCAGTGATGTGAAATATAAGTTATGTATTTTAATGTGTTTTGTTACAGTTATAACTTGGAAATATTTTCTCTACCTGGAGATAACCCAATTATCTCCAGGATAGAGAGGAGGAATCTCACTGTTTATGGTGGGGTGTGTTTTACATTGTTACTGTTGTAGCGGAGCTGCAAGGTTAAAACCCAATATCTCTGCTGGTACAGATAATAATCCAAGTGAAGCGCTGGAAATGAAGGCAATATCCCAAATCCCCCCAGTAACCAGACGAAACACAGTTCTGGGAGTTAACTGACAATTTTATTCAGAGCTCCAGTATTTATGTGGTTCCCCATGCAAGGGGTTTCCTTAGTCACTTTACAGGGGTATTACAGTAGAGGACTACATGGGGAACTGAACATACAGGGCATTTCTCCCACCATGCACTGCTGTACGAGAGGGATACTCCCACTAGAATATCCTGTTAAGTGGATTATCCCTCCGTACAGCAGAACTGAATTTTTACATAAAAATGCATAACTTTAATATTATACATAGGATTATACCGAATGACCGTTTGGTAGATAGCTGGGGTCTGAGCGCACACTTTGTGAAAGTACCACTCAGATCCCAGCATAAATAACCGAACGCCGCACGAAACATACTTTACTATACATTCTTCTAAAAAGTACCGAATATATAACGGGGAATAAAATACCGAAGGACCGGCGCTCCCGAACGGCCTGGAAGTCCAGTGGTGTTCGCGCCGTCGAGTAGCCGATTTTGGTTCCAGGCACTCGACGACCAAACACCGCTGGGTTAACAAAGGATCCAAGATGGCCGACCGCCGCGTGGTCGGTAGCCGAACGACGGCCACCCGGGAAAGTAATTAGCCGCCGATTGCTACACTGTTGCAATCGGTTAATGGGAGCCACACGACCCTATGTGTGTGGGCTCCAATTCGGTACTTTATTTGTTTCACGAACAGTGAGTAAAGTCACTGTTCGTAAAACTACCATATGAATGCTAGCGGCTTTCGGCTGTTAGCATATGAATGATCTCAATTACAGCAATACCGAATACATACATATACAGAATAAAAACAGCTTTTGTCAGACAACCTTCAGATTTTGAACAGTGCGACCTAAAGTGGCTAGGTTTGCCACAACTGTATGTTGATTGGCTACTGTAAATTGTGTCCCAGTCCTCCACAAGGTCCATGTGGGATTATCCCTTGCTGGAGTACCTGCATAAAAGGCCAAGCTGTGGCCACCATTGAACAGATCGTTTTACCGCTTCATGAAGTCTTGGCTCATGTTTGGGGGATTGGGAGCTATAATTCACTACACCTTCTGCTACACTTTGATTTCGGGAGATTCTGCACGGATATACTCAGCTAGAGTATAAGGGATCCATTACAGTAAGGCCAGTGTCAGGATTACTGTTTGATCCAGCACGTAGAACTGTACAGCACGGATGACAAATAAGTAACGTATTACCGGTCCTTAGAATGGCCGGATTTAACGTACAAAGAATAGTCAAAAATACTAGCCGAGGTCAGGGAACACAGAAAGGGACACAGCGATGAGGAAAGCCAGGAGTCAGGATACCAGAATATAGAGAAGTCAATAAACAAAGCCAAAGTCAAAAACCAGGTAGAAAACTATAAACAGGAACGCGCTCTCGGACAACCACAAGGGAAACCACGACAGGGCACTGAGCAGGCTGAGAACTGGGCCTAAATACCCCTCCTTTCTTTCTGATAGGCTGTAACCGGCCTTTGACCCCAAAGTCAGTTACCAGGTTTCATTTGCATAATTGCTGCTCAGCATTAACCCTTCTGTGGATTAGGTTGCTGCTCGGCACAACTTTTCCTGTGTGGACAGTAAATGTCATTAACCACATTTCTATAAGCGGATGAATACGTGACATTACCCCCACCTGAAGAACGCCCACCGGGCGGACAGGACCAGGCTTGAGAGGAAATTTAGCGTGAAAAGCGCGGATCTTACGGCCCGCATGCAGGTCAGGAGCCGAAACCCAAGAACGATCAGCAGGACCGTAACCTTTCCAAACAACCAAGTACTGTAAAGTGCCCCGAGAAAACCTAGAATCCACGATAGAAGATACCTCATACTCTTCCTGACCACCCACCACCACCGGAGGGGGAGGAACACAAGGAACAGTATATCTATTGCAGACAAGAGGTTTGAGTAAGGACACATGAAAAGTGTTGGGAATCCCTAAAGATGCAGGAAGAGCCAGAGAGTAAGACACTGGATTGATCCTACGAAGCACTCTATAGGGACCAAGGAATCTGGGGGCAAACTTCATGCTAGGGACCTTAAGCTTGATGTTGCGAGATGACAACCAAACCCGGTCCCCCACTTGGTACACCGGGTTGGCACTCCTACGCTTATCAGCAAAATGTTTGAAGCGTTCAGCAGCAGCCCCTAGAGCAGTTTGAACCTTAACCCAGGTATCCCGAATGGAGGCCAGACGCTCATCCAGAGCAGGAATGGCAGTATCAGAAAATACCGCAGGGAGAACCGTAGGATGCCTACCATTATTGACAAAAAATGGACTGTGCCCAGAGGAGTCATGAACAGCATTGTTTCTAGCGAACTCGGCCCACGGGAGTAGTTCGGACCAATTGTCTTGTGTGCTATTAATAAAACAACGCAAATAAACTTCTAATGACTGGTTAGCCCTCTCAGCTGTACCATTGGTCTGTGGATGGTAGGAGGAGGAGAAGGAGAGATCAATCCCCAATTGTTTACTGAACGCCCTCCAGAACCTGGACACAAACTGAGAGCCCCTATCAGACACAATATTGTGGGGGATGCCATGCAAACGGACAATTTCACGTATGAAAATTAGGACCAAATCTTGCGAAGATGGCAACTTCTTGAGAGGAATGAAGTGAGCCATCTTAGAAAATCGGTCTACAACCATGAGAATAGTAGTGAACCCAGCAGAGCTAGGAAGCTCAACAATAAAGTCCATGGATAAGTGGGACCATGGAATCTCAGGAACAGGAAGAGGCTGCAACAGGCCACAAGGAAGTGCATGAGTCACCTTAGAAACTGCACACACAGAACATGCCTGCACATACTCCTTTACATCTTTCCTGAGTGAATCCCACCAAAATGATCTAGTGATCGCGGCAGTGGACTTATTGATGCCCGGGTGTCCAGCAGTTATATTGTCATGGAACACTTTCATGATATTAACCCTTTCACATAGGGGAACGAACAGTTTATCACACGGTTTACCACTGGGCGCCTGAGGCTGGGCCTCCAGTATGGTGCCAAGCAGTGGAGAAGACAGTGAGAGGACAGTAGTGGCAATAATACACTCTGGTGGAATAATAGGAGATGTCACCTGTTCCGGAGCTGACTCATTATCAAATTGCCTGGACAAGGCATCAGCCTTGGTATTTTTAGAACCAGGTCTATAAGTAATGAGAAAGTTAAAACGTGAAAGGAACAGTGACCATCTAGCCTGTCTGGAAGACAAACGTTTGGCATCCCCTATATATGCCAGATTTTTGTGGTCGGTTATGATCAACAGGGGGTCCTTGGAACCCTCCAAAAGATGTCGCCACTCCTTGAGGGCAAGAATAATGGCCAACAGTTCTCTATTGCCAATATCATAGTTGCGCTCAGCAGGAGACATCTTTCTGGAGAAGTAGCCACAAGGATGCAATGGTGTTCCCTGGCTTTCTCTCTGAGAGAGAACAGCCCCTACCCCTGTCTCGGATGCATCAACCTCCAATATAAAAGGTTTACTAGTGTCGGGATGTTTTAGTATGTCCGCAGAGGCAAATCTTTGTTTAAGAGTCTCAAAAGCATTCACAGCCTCTTTGGACCATACCGTGCTACTAACCCCTTTGTGAGTCATATTTGTGATTGGGGCTATTACAGAAGAAAATCCCTTGATGAATCTTCTGTAATAGTTGGCAAAACCAATAAACCTTTGAATGGCTTTTAAACCAGAGGGTAATGGCCAGTGTAGTACAGCCTCTAGTTTTTTAGGATCCATTTGAAATCCCGATGCAGAGATGTTGTAACCCAAAAAGTGGACTTCAGGCTGGTTAAATATGCACTTTTCTAATTTGCAATAAAGTTTATTTTTCAACAACGTCTGCAGAATCTGTTTCACATGTGAGTGGTGAGTCTGAAGATCAGGGGAATACACCAAAATATCGTCCAAATAAACCAAGACAAATGAGTAAATGAATTCCCTGAGTACATCATTTATAAAGTCTTGGAATACGGCCGGGGCGTTGCATAACCCAAATGGCATTACCAGATATTCATAGTGTCCACTACGGGTATTATATGTCGTCTTCCACTCATGATTCTCTTTAATTCTAACCAAATTGTATCCCATTCTAATATCTCCCCATTAGCCCAGTCAATATAGGGATTGTGCTTACTCAGCCACGGAAACCCTAATATGATAGGACATGATGGAGAAGTAATAACCTGAAACGTCATCTCCTCCCTATGGGAGGCCCCAATGGAGATCGTAATAGGGACAGTTTCTTGGGTTATAAGCGGTTGTGTGAGTGGTCTACCATCAATAGCCTCTACAGCTAGCGGCGTAGGCCTCTCCCTGACCGGTATCTCATTACCCCTAATAAACTGGACATCAATAAAATTTCCAGCAGCACTTGAGTCCATTAGGGCACTGCAAGAAAACTTCTTGTTATCAAGGGAAATAGATACCTCAAGGAGGAATCTACTTTTGTTTTTGTTAGAGGACAACTCCATAACACCTAAGATCTGTCCCCTTAAGGTTCTTAGGTGCGGAAGTTTTCCGGACGCACTGGACAATTGGTTATCATATGTCCCTTTCTACCGCAATATAGGCATAACCCCTCCTATACTGTTTTTCGGCCTCTGACAGTCTAGTGACCCCCAACTGCATAGGTTCGGGTTCGGACTGTACAGGGAGGTTAGACAAAACAGGTTTAGAGAATTGAGGTGCTAGGGACATAGCCGTATGTCTGGTCTTGCTTCTGGTGACTTCTCTGAGTCTTAACCTATTATCAATATGCATGACAAACGTAATAAATTCGTTAAGACTCTTAGGTAATTCTTTAGTGGCTATCTCATCTAGTATAGTCTCTGAGAGACCCTTTTTGAATGCTGAGATTAACCCATTGTTAGTCCAGTCTACCTTGGAAGCTAAGGTACGGAATTCAATAGCATAATCCGAGATAGACCGGTTACCTTGTCTGATGTGCATTAGGGCAGTGGAGGCGTCATCCTCTCTACCCAATGGCTCAAGCGTGAGCTTGAATTCGGCAAGGAATTCCTGGTAATTATGAGCTATGCTCCGATTACTCTCCCACAACGGATTAGCCCAGGCAAGGGCCTTGCCCTTTAATTGATTCATTAGATAACCAATTCTTGCTCTGTCCGTGGGGGAATGACCCTGGTGAGGCCTCAAAATGGTACTCCACCTGATTAAGAAAACCCCTGCATTCCTGGATATTGCCATCAAACTGTAGGGATGGTTATAAGGAGAAGCAAGGAGTCCTATTAACAGTGGGTGAGTGAATTGATCCATGCGGTGATCATTCTCCTCTAATTTCCTCTCGCAAGCAGCTATGTGCTGACACAGTTCTGCAGGATCTATGGCCATGTCGTAATGTCAGGATTACTGTTTGATCCAGCACGTAGAATTGTATAGCACGGATGACAAATAAGTAACGTATTACCGGTCCTTAGAATGGCCGGATTTA